GATATCATGGTATATTAGGTAAAACATTCTTTTATTTCTTGGCACAGTGGTGAATGATTTGATTCAATTTCATAAAATCTTGTTAAGCAGTTGAGTTCCAGGCCTTTGGGCTGAGTAGCATAGACATTGGTGAACAAAGTAAAGGTCCTGCCCACAAAGAGCCCTCCGGATGTAGCGTGACTGGGAAAGAAGCAGGTTGCCGAGAGGGAGGAGATTGGAATGCAATGCATTCCCTGCCCTCCGTCAATTCCACAGGGAGCTCTGTGGCTGGAATGGCCCTTTTGAGTTACCATGTTTTGGGACAAGGGTGCTAGGCCTTCATCCCTGGTGCTGGTCAATCACTGGAAGTCTGTCCTGGAAAACTTTCTCATTAAGAGAGCTGACACCTGTGATCTAGGCAGCACCTCACAGTTTTCACCACGTACAGTTGCGTATAACAGTGCCTTGATAAGAAAGAGAAGAGGTGTTGACTCCAATCTCAGGAGATGAGGAAAGGCCTCTCACCCACCTTCTGAGCTACCACCTGAAGAGTACATTTGAGGGTTGGAATTAAGAGAGTTCAGTTTATATTTCTCATGATGAAGCTCATCAACTACCCACAGAGCATTCTGGAAGGCTTTGAGACACTTCTGATTGTGTTCGTCATATAAAAGTATTTGTTCTTCCTACAATAAACATTATAAGATGAATTTTTGGTGTTTAGCTTCTTATGAATGGGTGAAATAAATAATTTCTCTCTTTTTTTGTCTTAGTTTGAGACTTATTTGGGAATAGTTTCTAAATTCTATACACATACACTTTATTTTTGCCCAAACAGGCATTGGAAATTCTGTTTATTTTTTGGCTTTAGTGTTGTATAATTGACAAATAAAAATTGTATATAATTAAGGTGTACAACTTGATGTTTTGATATGTGTATACACTGTGAAATGATCACCACAATCAAGCCAATAATATAGCCATTACCTCACATAGTTATCATTTTCTTTTTTCTATGCCCTTTTTTTATTTTTTGGTGTGGTAAGAACAATTAAGATCTGTCCTCTTAGCAGAAGTTAAGGTCACAATCAATATGGTATTGTTAGTTACAGTCACACTGCTGTACAGTAGATCTCCAGAGTTTATTTATCTTGCATAACTGAAATTTTACACTCTTTGACTAACATTTCTTCATTTCTCCCATCCCCAGCCCGTGGCAGCCACTATTCCACTCTGCGGCTATGAGTTTGACAATTTGACTATTTTAGATTCCACAAATAAGTGGGATCATGCAGTATTTGTCTTTCTATGTCTGACTTATTTCACTCAGCCTAATGACCTCAGTGTTCATCTATGTTGTTGCAAATGACAAAATTCCCTTTTCTGAGATTGAATATATATTATATATATAATATTCAATATTCAATAAATATATATATGCATGCTATGGATGGGTTGGCTGTGTCCCCACTCAAATCTCATCTTGAATTGTAGTTCCCATAATCCCCACATGTTGTGGGAGGGACCCGGTGGGAAGTAATTGAATGATGTGAGTGGTTTCCCCCCGCTATTCTCATGATAGTGAGTAAGTTCTCATGAGAGCTGATGGCTTTATAAGGGGATTCCCCCTTTACTTGGCTATCATTCTTCTCTCTCCT